TTTTCTTAATGTGCTGATGGTAGGCTAGGAGCTCGTATTTTAGCTATATTTTACACTCTAATTACTACACTTAAATTGCTTGAATTTATTGGAAAAGCTTTAACTCTAGGTGTGATTATATTCATTATTGTGGTTAATCAGAAGAGGAGCGTAATGCTAAATATTATTGCAACGTCTGCCTTAATTTATTGTGGTACTTATTTAAAGTAATCGAAGGAGCTTTGTGATCTACCTTTTGAATTAAGATTGAGAAATATTTGAGAGAAGTTTCTCTTAGACCATTCTTACCAATAGATTCTTGCAAGTTTTGCCGCACTTCATATTAGCTTATTTGAACAGTTTAGGTTTAATCAAGAGAGGAACCTGAATCAGAGTAATAGGATAATAACCTCTTGAGTTCAAGAGAATCAACAAAATATTAATAGTGAAATTTAACAATGTCAATTCCAGAACAACAATCTCGCACTTATCATGTCATGACCCTTATTTCTCACATTGATAACAACCTAACTCTGCTAGTGTCTAGTTCTTAGCGATCAATTGTCATTTGCTTTACATTTAATTGTTAGTTGTAGTTCATAATCATTTCAATCAAAGTGTGAATCATTCTTAATAGCATTCAAGCCAGAAATTACTTGAACATTGCTTAAATCCAATCTCTATGGAGACAATAATTAAACTATACTGTCTTTGGCTAGTGAGTATAAATTTCGTGTTGTGTTTTGCGCTCGTCAAATTTGGCGCCGTTGTCGGGGATTGGCAATCAATAGTGTTCAAAATTAGTTTTTGGTGCTAATTCAGGAACCAATTTTATTTTATTCTTCACAAATTTTCTCTTGGGTGTAGGGCAACATATTTAACTTCTCTGGTGTATGACTCAATCTTCGTTAAAAGATGTGATTCCATACGATCCAGAGGTGGAAAAGCATCTGACACAGTTGAGGAAAGAGAAAGAACTCACCAAAAGATTCTTGGGGAAACCTTAAACCTAAGAACACATGGCTAATAACGGTGATGATGGGGTAGATTTAGTTGCAAGAGAGGCAACACAAAATAGAGAACAAGCTGCACGGTTAGTAGCTGAAGCAGCCCTTAGAGCTGCTGATGAGACTATCGAAGATGATGGGGGTCAGAGATTCAATATAAATTGACCCTTGGTTGAAGACCAATTCGAAAATATGGCTCCCAGGCCTGGAAGAGTATTAGGTGATTATGCCAGACTAGTCTACACTTAGGGACTGTCAAGTGTTACCTCCACCCATTGCAGCAAATAATTTCGAGTTGAAGCAAGTCTTGCTTCAAACCATTCAGAGCAACTATGCCTTTAGCGGGAAGGCGAATGAAGATCCTAACACTCACTTGATGGACTTTAAGAAATCATGAACACCTTCTAGTACAATAGATTGTCAAAAGATACAGTCTACTTAAGGGCATTCCCCTTTTCATTGAAGGATGACGCAAAGCACTGCTTTGTAGCTTACCAACTTGGTCGATCAATACATGGGAAGATATTACTAAAGAGTTCCTTTACAAGTACTTCTCAGCTACAAAAACAGTAAAATTCATAAGGGAAATCCACAACTTCTGCCTGAAGGACACTGAAACAGTCTTCGAAGTTTGGGAAAAATTCAAGGAGATAGTGAGAAAGTGTTAGCATAATAGAATCGAATTGTGGATGCAACTCCAGAACTTTTGGGATGGGCTGACACCTTCCTCACGACGAACTCTAATTACTGTAGTTGGAGGTCCTTTAATGAAGAAGATGTCACGACCCTAGTTCACCAATCGTGAACATGTCGTGACGGCACCTGGTCCCCATGACCAGGTAAGCCTAACATCTGCGGAAATATAATACTTGCGGAAAAATAGAGAAAATCAAATCAGGTATCTAAAGGAAACTGTACTGAATGCCGCTTGGCAAGTACAACTCAATATCACAAGCCTAAAACAATTCCCAAAACCCGGAAACTCACGGGCAACATAGGCTACAGAAGTGTATAGTAAAGGTTCCAAAACTCCAGAATTTCTAACAACCGAAAGAAGGAAAAACTAAGTACTAAAGATAGAATAAGAGGGAGACTCGTCGGTCTGCGGACGCAGCAGATCTACCTCAAAGTCTCCGTAGTCCTCCTGCCTCACTGATAGGGCGCCTGAGTAGAGGTACCTGGATGATCTGCACATGAAAAACATGCGCAGGAAGGGCATGAGTACACCACAGCGATACTCAGTAAGTGCCAAGCCTAACCTCGGTTGGGTAGTGACGAGGAAGGTAAGGGCCATACTGAGACAAAATATAGTAATAACAATAATTAACAGTATGATAATCTGACGGAAATAATAAATGCAACAGTGATATAAGACAGATTAAGCAAGGCAATAGCAAATACACAAGAACGGAACAACCACAGAATAAGTACAGCTCAACACCAATGGTAACAATGAGGATCTCCCAGGATACCGTCCTGTAGTCCTTTTCTCAACTGTCCAGTGCATCTCCTGGGATACCGTCCCGTAGTCCATCATATGTGTATATCCGAAGGATCTCCCGGGATACCGTTCAGTAGTCCAACTATCGAGGTGCAGGGGGATCTATCGGGAATCTAACCCGTTGTCCCAAAGTAAAAGTGCAGGGGGATCTACCGGGAATCGAACCCGTAGTCCCAAAGTAAAAGTGCAGGGGGATCTACCGGGAATTGAACCCGTAGTCCCAAAGTAAACAAACAAGGGGGGGGGGAACTACCGGAATCCCACATCCGTAGTCCCAATGTAAGTGCGCAATCACAACTAGAAGGCACACGGAAGTGAAGTACAAAAGACAAGCAACAGGTAGTACTGGCCTAGCATGCTTCACGTAGTACAGTTAAGGCAACTTAAGCAATTAGGCAAGTTAAATCAACTAAACATGCTTTCCTAATCTAGCACAGGTTATAATCGCAAGTAGAATAAAGCAAATATGGAAGGAACTCAATCTCAATATCTTAAGAAAATCGGGTTTCCAACAATTGGCTCAAGTACACGCCCGTCACCTCGCGTACAAGGCACTCAAATCAACAAATAACAAATCCTAAGGGGAAAGGTCCCCCACACAAGGTTAGACAAGCCACTTACCTCGAATCGGCACCAAAATCAACTCGAAATCACACTTTTGCCACGAGTATCCGACTCCAAATGGCCCAAATCTATTCAATTCAACTACATATCGTAAGTAATATTGCAAACAACTGATTCCACTATTAAATTTACAGCTAGGGCGCAAAAATAGGTAAAATGACCAAAACGCCTCTCCAGCCAACGTCTCACGATCGAATAATTTTCACATTTTCAGAACCATCGTACTCTCACGAGTCTAACCATATAAAAATCTCCCAAATCGGAGGTCAATTGCCCACTCAAAACTCAATAATTAGGTCTATGAAGTTTCTTCCAATTTTTGATCCTAAATTCGAATTCCAATGGTGTATTTAACTATAAAATGATGAAATATAACAAGAAGGGACCAAAGAAACGTTACCCAGTGATCTTCACTTCAAATCCCACTCAAAATCGCCTTAAACCGAGCTCTCAATTGATTTTGCAACTTATGAACTCAAACCCTCGACATCTCTATTTCTGTCCAGGGGTTTCCGCTTCTGCGGACAAGGGACCGCTTCTACGGTCCCGCTTCTACGAACCACGAGCCGCTTCTGCGGTTCTTCATTAAAGTCAAGATTTCCGCTTCTGTGGCCCTTCACCGCACCTGTGGTTGCCGCTTATGCGGATTCATTACCGCTTCTGCAGTTTCAAACAAAATCCCAAGGACCGCATCTGCGACTACCATCTCGCAGGTGCGTAACCGCTTCTGCGGTTAAACTTCCGCACCTGCGAAAACTGAAGAAGCACTCGAATTTCGCTCCTGCGGTGGTCCTGCCGCTTCTGCGCTTCCCAAGCCGCAGAAGCGGAAATACCAGATGACCGAACCTTCAGCAATTCATTCAACTTCAAAATTTTCCGTCAACCACCCGAAATCATCCCGAGGCCCCCGGGACCTCAACCAAAAGCACCAATACCACCTAATACCTTATTTGAACTTGTACCAATCCTTAAAACACCTAAAACAACGCAGGAAACCCGAATTAATCAAAGATTCAAGTCTAAGAACCTCAAATTCCAACCAAACACGCTTTCGATAAAAAACCTAACCAAACCTCGTCCGAATGACCTGAAATTTTGCACACACATCCCAAATGACATGACGGAACTACTGTAACTTCCGGAATTCCAATCCGACCCTCGGATCAAAAACTCACTATCGGACCGAAAACTTCAAAAATTCAAACTTCGGCATTTCAAGCCTAAATGAGCTACGAGTCTCCAAAATACATTCCGAACACGCTCCCAACCCCGAAATCACCTAACGGAGCTAACGGAACCATCAGATTTCCATTCCGAGGTCGTCTTCACACTATTCCAATTACGGACCATTTTTCAACTCTTAAGCTCTCATTTAGGGTCTAAGTGTCCCAAAACACTCCGAATCCCAACACCGAACGTCCCGGCAAACCAAAATAGCAGAAATGAACTTAGGGGAAGCAGTTAATGGGGCGGGGCGAAAATTCCGAAAACGACCGGCCGGGTCGTTACAGAAGACTCCTAAGGAGATTGTTGGAATTCTTGATGAGCTCTCTGAAGATGCAAACAAATAGCTCACTGAGAGTAATGATAGAAGAAAATCATCTGGGGTTCACCAAGTAGACTCTAACACATCAGTGCAAGCCCAACTAGACACCATGGCCAGAGGATAAGAAATTTAACCTTATCCAAGGTCCAGAGCCAGTCACCATCGGTTTGCAATTTTTATGGAATGGGTCATCCAACGCATGAGTGTCAGGACTCGACTACAGATAAAGTGGTAAATGCTGTGGGGAGCTTTGACATAGGCAACTACCAAAGTGGCAATAATTTAAACCCTATGGGGCAGAGGCACCCAGGTTTTTCTTGGAGTTCACCAGGTGGTAGTGCGAATGCATGGCAACAGAATAACTCCAGACCCCAGGGATAGGGAGCTCCAGGTTTTCTCAACAGCAAAGACAGCAATACCAACCTCCACGGTATAATCAGTCCAGCATGGAAGACCCGATGAAGGCCTTTATAATTAAAGCAGATGAAAGGCTTGAAACTCATGGCACATCCATTCAAAACTTGGAAAGATAGGTGGGGCAACTTGCTAATCTATTGTCTGAGAGGGTTCCAGGAACTCTCCTTGCTGATACTGAAAGAAATAAAAACATAATAATAAATGCAGTGTCTTTGAGAAGTGGGCATGTATTGAAGGACCCCATTGAAAAACAAAAATATGAGTTGATTGAAGGACATGTAAAGATTGCAGAGGAGCAGAAAAATAGAAACAATCAAGAAGGTGAAGTGAGGGTAGATCCAGATGATGGTCTGAAGAAGAAAGGGATGACTATAACTCTGAAAAAGAAGAAGGATGGGAATTCAATGAATGATGAGACTGAAGAGAGTAAATATATGTCTGCTCTACCTTTCCCTTAGAAGCAGAGAAGAGATAAGCTGGAAAAACAATTTGGGCATTTTTTAGATGTGCTCAAGCAGGTGCATGTTAATCTACCTTTCACAAAGGTGCTCTCGCAGATGCTAGCCTATGCTGAGTTCCTGAAGGAGATGTTGTCCAACAAGCATAAAGTGGACGAGACATCAGTTGTCAAGCTCACAGAGTATTGTAGTGCCATTCTAAAAAATAAGCTCCCTCAAAAGTGTGAATATCTAGGTAGTTTTACTATACTTTGCTCTTTAGGAAGTACTAAATTTGAAAAATCTTTGTGTGATTCAAGTGCTTCTATTAAACTTATGCCTTTGTCCATTTTTAGGAAATCAGAGGGAGATATTGGAGAAGCCAGATCTATACCTGTATCTTTGCAGCTGGCGGCTCAGACCACGATCATACTAGAAGGAATAGTGGAAGATGTGCTAGTTCGGGTGGTTAAAATTGTGTTCCCTATGGACTTCATCATGGTGAATATGGAAGAGAATAAGGAGGTCCCTCTGATTTTAGGGAGACCATTCTTAGCTACTAGCAGAGCTATTGCGGACATTCAGGAGAGCCAACTCATGCTAAGAATGGGGGAAAAAAGAGTGGTGTTCAAGATGAATGAATCAATAGGGACACCTAGAGACAAGTCGACTGCACAGTCTGAATCCGGAGAGAGTAAGCCTCATAAGTGTGGGTGTACCCAACGAAGGCAGAAAAGAACTTTCAACATGGATATGTGCACTGGGTCGGGCATGCAAAGTGGACCCCTACTTCGATTCAGACCCAGACTAGATGATTCAAGAGAGTTCTCTTTACCTCTTACTTTTTATTTGTATGTCACAGGAACATGCCATAATTTAAAGTGTGGGGTGAGGGATATAAATATATACATTTGTGTTTGTTTTCTTTTGTTTTATTTGATTTTTTTTAACTTTCCCAACGATGGATTTCCTCGACTGTCTTCTTGAGAGATTAAATTCGAAGAAAAAAAATTGTTTTTGTTTTTCATTTTTGTTTTAGTTTCTTAGGTAGTGTAATAATTCCCCCTTAGTTTATGTGTGCTGCGATTCTTTTCCAAAGGTTTTTGCTTGAACCGAGTGTAGTTAATTTTTCTTTTAATAGGAATAAAGAGTCTTGTGTCATAGTGCTAATTAGTGGAGATAACTTTTCTTGTATCTTGAGATAGGTGAGTGCCTTAGTTGTGACGCCTAGGCTCAGTTCTTGACTCATGTATTGTAGTGCCTTAAATTATTTGATTTTGACTTTACTTAACTGCTTTGACCAGAGAATCGGGATAGATCTGGTCCTAAGTGAGTTATGTGCCATGGTGTGTGTGAGATTTTGTCGATATTCTGTGAATGACAATTGATATGTAGAACTTGCCTTGTGTGTTTACAAAGTAAAAGGGTAGTCTTGTTCATTCTAAAAAGTGATACAAACATTTCTTTGTGAGCCAATTATATGCATGTTACCCGTATAATTGTGTGTATCCTAGTTATCCCTTTGAGCCTGTAATCTTAATTCTTTGGCAACCACACTACAAGCCTGACCCCTTTTTTTAAATTGACTATTTGTTTGAACCTTTACCTCTCTTGAGCACTTGAAGTTTTTATGAGCTTGCTAAAAGCTAAGTTGATGTATGGTTGGGGATTTGAGTGGAACTGAGAACAATAGGAGAAAGGTACACATTTTTGAAAAAAAGTAAGAGCCACTTGTAGGGAATTGAAAAAGAAAAAGAAGAAGAAGTCGAAGAAAATATGTATTTTGTGTGGAAAAAAAATAAATTCCTTGCTAGTGGTAGCTCATGATATATTTGTGCTTAAAGAAATTGAGAGCTGATATTATTATGATGTGAAGGTTGGGGTTTGGTTCAAAATAAGTGTTGGGTTTCGATTTTGAATTGTATGTATTAAAGTGTTCAGGGAGGAGTAGTCATTATATCCAAATGTATCCTACCCGTCCCGCAACTTACATTACAACCAATATAAAGTCCTACTTTATCTTTGACTGAATGAACTCAATTAGTGGAGTTTACACTACGGACAAGCATACGATGCGTCTTCTATGGAACATGAGTTTTAATTCTAAGAGTGAGTTTTATTTCTATATTGAGTTTCTATTTGTTCTTGAATTTTATTATGTGTGAAACTACTCTCTGTCTTTGGAGTGAGGACACATGATTTGCGAAGGAAAGGTAAAGTCTTTGGCCTCTGTGTTAGAGTAAGTGAGCAGGTTTTTGAAAAATATGTGGTACTTTTGAATCGAGTCTTGAGACTAGGATTTTATGATGAGGTGCTTAGTTTGCTTTAAATATTCTTGGCATGATGAGTTAGGGAAGTTGTTTGATGAAACAGTCGTCTCGAGGTGAAGTGTAGTTTGATTGCTCGAGAACGAGCAATGATTTAAGTGTGGGGTGTTGATGGTAGGCTAGAAACTCGTATTTTAGCTACATTTTACACTCTAATACTACACTTTTATTGTATTTGAGCTACTTGTTAGTACTTTGTACTTATTACGTATGTTATGTTGTGTATGATGTGATTTCGAATGAAGAAGCAATTTTGAAGCTAAGATGATTTGGAGCTTTGAAGTCTGAGTAAAACCCAAAGAATTAAGCTCGAATCGTGTTTGGGGCTCGAGTACCAAGTCTGGATGTTAAAAATTAAGAAAAAAAATTACTTTGGAAAAAATGCACTGCCGCGCCATGGTGTAAAAAGTGCTAGTGCGAAATTCATTTAGAGGAAAAAAAAACCCACTCTCTGAACTTTCCCACTGGCGTGGCGCATGGGGAGACACGAGGCGTGCTGTGCCTGTGTAATTTTCTTATAGTGTTGTCTCACTTCGGCTTGGAAAGGATAGTTTCATCCGTACCCGTTTCTGCATGGTATTAATATACCAAAAACGTGATTTTTAGGGGACTTTTAACCTTGGAAGCTGAGAATTGGAGGCTTCAAGACACAAGATTTCATTATCTTTCCATCAATTTAATAAGGAAGTTTGGATTGTAATGTTAGATTAATGTTTTCTTACTCTTTAATTCTATTTGTGGTGACTTCCTCTATGATTGTGGAGTAGTTTTTATTACGGTTTGACATGATTTTGTGACTTGATTGTTACCCATGGATTTGATTATTGTTTCATTTCTTGAATTTATTGGAAGAGCTTTAACTCTAGGTGTGACTATATTCATTATTGTGTTTAATTGGAAGAGAAGCATAATACTGAATATTATTGCGAAGCATGCCTAATTTTATTGTGGTACTTCTTTAAGTAATCGAAGGAGCTTTGTGATCTACCTTTTGAATTAGATTGAGAAATATTCAAGAGAAGTTTCTCTTAGACCATTTTTACCAATAGATTCTTGCAAGTTTCTCACACTTCATATTAGCTTATTTGAGCAGTTTAGGTTTAATCGAGAGAGGAACCTGAATCACAATAATAAGATAATAACATGTTGAATTCGAGAGAATCAACAGAACATTAAGAGTGAAATTTAACAGTGTCAATTCCAGAACAACAATCTCGCACTTGTCATGTCATAACCCTTATTTCTCACATTGATAACAATCCAATTCTGCTAGTCTCTAGTTCTTCGCGATCAATTGTCATTTTCTTTACTTTTAATTGTTAGTTGTAGTTCATAATCATTCCAACCAAAGTATTAATCATCCTGAATAACATTTAAGCCAGAAATTACTTGAACATTGTTTAAATTCAATCCCTGTGGAGATGATAATTAAACTATACTATCTTTGGCTAGTGAGCATCAATTTTGTGTTGTGTTTTGCGCTCATCATATGCATACTAGCTCCTTTATCTTCCCAATCATTTGCTCTTGAGCCTTCCACTGATTTCTTGTACTTGATTGATTTCCTTTCCTTCCTTGTGTCTTTGAAAGTCCTTTTCCCATTTGATTGATTCCCTTTCCTTTCTTCTATTCCTTTGATGGAAAAATTTGAATATCATAGTCGTTGGCTCTTTGATTGCTTCTTACGCCTCTTACCCCTACATAGTTTTGATTAGTGAACCTACACACATAGTAGATTCACATTAGTCAAGTACTTTTTATTTTTAGTCATCATTAAAATTCTAAACCTAACAATCTCCCCCTTTTTGATGATGACAATAAATCAAAAGAGTTTGACAGATTTGGGGACACTTCCCTTTCAAGGTTGTACTTCTGCTCCCCCTGTCTTTGCATCTTGTTTGTATTCCTGCTCCCCCTGTCTTTGCATCTTGTTTGTATTCCTGCTCCCCCTGTTTTTTTACTCTTTTTGTTCTCCCCCTTTGACATCAACCAAAAAGAGAAATAACAGATACAAATGATATCAGCTAATAATAATAAAACATGCATGACATATTTATATACACTTAAAACAGTCATAGTCAAGCAAAATGGGGCATAGTCGACTGTACGCCTGATTAACCACAACCAAAAGTAAAGTTTTATCAGACAAAAAGAAAAGATTGTTTAGGAAGCCCAGAAAATTAGGCCTGTCACGACCCCAAATCCCCTCCGTAGGATGTCGTGACGGCACCTAGTTTCTAAGATTAGGTAAGCCTAACAAACATGCGGAATAACTGAATACTAATTTAAATTTCAAAAACATCAGCAACTATATGAATAAAGTCTGCAACTCAACATGTACATCTCCCAAAAACCCGGTGTAAATAAAAGTCACAAGCTCTAGATACAGTACTGAACACTCATATACATCATTGTCTTTAAAGATGTAAAGAAATAAGAAAAGAACAGGATAGAAGGGGACTTCGAGGCCTGCGGACGCGGACATGTGTACCTTGAAGTCTCTGAAGTAAAGCAACTCAACGCACTAATACCGAGGATGATAGGATGTACCTGGATCTGCACAAAAACATATGCAGAAGCGTAGTATGAGTATATAACAATGGTACCCAGTAAGTGCCAAGCCTAACTTCGGTAGAGTAGTGACGAGGTCAGGTCAAGGCCCTACTAGAGATAATACGAAACAAAATAGGAGATATAATGAAATGACAGAGAAATGAAACAATAAAGAATTTGCGGAAAAGTAAAAACACGAAATTAAGGAAGTTAACACAACACGAAAGGAAAACAAGGATTTTACATGTTAAGGAAACATCAACCAAACAATACAGCAAGTAGAGAAAATCAACAGGGCACTCCCGAGATACCGCCTCGTAGTCCCAAATCATAAAAATAACTCACAATCTTTCCTTATATCACCACAAGAGCCTTTATATTTTGTCTTAAAAATCATTTTTCCGAATAGCATCCCGCGTTTCAGCCTATCTTATCACATCGCATGGCTTCTAGTAGTTCCCCTACTAGCCACGCGCATCAAGACCACCTTATCTCACCGCATGCGTTTCAACACCCAAACCTTATACCACCGCATGTGTATCAATAATCACAAAAGCACGGCAGAAACCTTGTGCAAATAGTAACAACCGCAAGGCAGAAACCACGTGCAAACAATAACAACATCACGATGGAAACCTCTTGCACACAACCAAAACAATCACCTCAGCAATAACACAAATGTCAAGACATAACAACCTCGTGCACACAACCATTACAATCACCTCAGCAATAACACAAATGGCAAGACATAACAACTAATTTAAGCGATATTTCACAACTTACACCTTGCCTCAATAGAAACTACGGCCTTTGCAACTCACCACCAAACTCAACAGCAAGATATTTCAAGGATAGGAAATTTCAAGTAGAATTTAGTGGAATTTAATAAAAAATGAGTTCTTACCCCAACAATCCTCTAAAAATCCCTCGAATTTTCGCCTCAAACCGAGCTCTCTAAGTCAAAAATGTGAAATGTAGAATAAACCCTCAATTTTGAAGCTTAAATCTGCTGCCCAGATATTCCTTCTTTGCGAATGCGGAAATTTCCTCGTGTTCGCGTAAACAGAAAATGCTACTGGCCAATTTTTCCTATTAGATGCACGTGAGGGTCCACTCGCAGACGCGGTGACCAAAGTTCTCCAGCTTCGCGATCGAGAACCCTTCTCGCGAACGCGTAAGGTCCCCTCCAGCCTGCAGCCCTTTTCGCGAACGTGTGGCCTTCTTTGCGAACGCGAAGAAAAAATCTCTCCTGCCTCCTAGGTACCCTTTGCGAATGTGAGACACCTCTCGCGAACGCGATGAAGGAAACCAGATATTAGAAAATTTAGCAGCTTCAGAAATTCTTCAAGCTTCCGAAATGCGCCAAACATCGTCCGAATCACACTTGAGGTCCCCGGGACCTCAATCAAGCATACAAACAAATCCTAAAACATCATACGAACACGCTCGAAGCGTCAACTCACATCAAACAACACTAGAATTACGAATTGCGCATCGATTCAAGCCTAAGAACTTATGAACCTCCGAATCCCGAAACCAACATCGATTCATACCAAAACAACTCTGATTGAGACTAAATTTTGCACACAAGTCATAATTGACATTATGGACCTATTCCAACTTCGGAAATCAGAATCCGACCCCGATATCAAAAAGTCCACTCCCGGTCAAACTTTCCAAAATCTTCCAACTTTCGCTAATTAACGCCAAAACGACCTACGGACCTCCAAATCAACGTCCGGACACGCTCCTAAAATCAAAATCACCATACGGAGCTATTGGAACAATCAAAACTCCATTCCGGAGTCATATTCACACAAGTCAAACTACGGTCAACTCCTACAAATTAAACTCCAATTTAGGGACTATGTGTCTCATTTCACTCTGAAACTCAACTGAAACCAAAACCAAACATCCTGGCAAGTCACGTAACCACAAGATGACACAGAGAAGGCAATAAATAGGGGATCAGGCCTAATACACTCAAAATGACTGGCCGAGTCATTACATCCTCCGCCTCTTAAAATAAACGTTCATCCTCAAATGAGTATAGAGACATACCTGAAGTGGTAAAAAGATGAGGATAACGGCTATGCATATCATGCTCGATCTCCCAAGTCGCCTCCTCGACTGGCTGACACCTCCACTGATCCTTCACTGAAGCAATGTTCTTCGACCTCAACTTTCGAACCTGCCCGTCCAAAATGGCCACTGGCTCCTCAACATAAGACAAATCCTTGTTCAACTGGACTTAGATGAAGTCTAACACATGAGACGGATCGCCGTGATACTTTCGGAGCTTAGAAATATGGAACAGTGAATAAACTGCAGTTATACTAGGTGGCAGTGCAAGCCTGTAGCCACCTCTCCAATCCTCTCAAGAATCTCAAAAGGTCCGATATACCTAGGGCTCAGCTTGACCTTCTTCCCAAACCTCATAACACCCTTCATGGGCGAAACCTGGAGCAAAACCCGCTCCCCAACCATGAATGCAACGTCGCGAACCTTCCAATCCATATAACTCTTCTGTTTGGATTGGGCTATACGGAGTCGATCCTGAATCAATTTAACCTTTTCCAAAGCATCCCGAACCAAGTCTGTACCCAATAGCCTAGCCTCACCCGGCTAAACGAACCCAGCGGAGACCGACACCGTCTACCATATAAAGCCTCATACGAGGCCATTTAAATGCTCGACTGGTAGTTATTATTGTAGGAAAACTTTGCAAGTGGCAAGAACTGATCCCAAGAACCCCCAAATTCCATCTCACACGCACGAAACATATCCTCCTATATCTGAATAGTGCGCTCGGATTGCCCGTCCATCTGAGGGTGAAATTCTGTGCTCAACTCAACCCAGGTACCTAACTCATGCTTTACAGCTCTCCAGAACCGCGATGTAAAATGCGTACCCCAGTCGGTAATGATAGATACCGGAATGCCATGAAGCCTGACAATCTCGCGAATATAAACCTGAGCCAATTGCTCTTAAGAATAAATAGTCACCACTAGAATGAAATAAGCTGACTTGGTCAACCTATCCGCAATCACCCAAACTACATCGAACTTTCTCTGAGTCCGTGGAAGCCCAACAACATAATCCATAGTAATCCGCTCCCATTTCCACTCCGAAATCTCTAGCTTCTGAAGTAATCCACCTGGCCGTTGATGCTCATACTTCACCTGCTGACAATTTAGGCACCAAACTACATACTCTACTTTGTCCTTCTTCATTTTTCTCCACCAATAATGCTGCCTCAGGTCCTGATACATCTTCGCAGTACCTGGATAAATGGAGTACCACGAATTGTGAACCTCCTGGAGAATCAACTAACGCAAACCATCTGAATTGGGCAGACATGGCCTGCCCTGTATCCCTAATGCACCGTTATCTCCAATAGTGACCTCCTTGGCATCACCGTGCTGAACCGTGTCCTTGAGGACAAGCAAATTAGGGTCGTCATACTAACGCTCTCTGATATGATCATAAAGAGAAGACCGAAAAACACACAAGCCAAAACTCGGCTGGGCTCGAAAACATCCAATCTAACAAACTGGTTGGCCAAGGCCAGAACATCCAAGGCTAATGGCCTCTCTGTTACCGGTAGATATGCTAAACTGCCCAAGCTCTCCGCCTTGTGACTCAAGGCATCGGCCACCACATTGGCCTTCCCGAGATGATATAGAATGGTGATATCATAGTCCTTAAGCAACTCTAACCACCTTCGCTACCTCAAGGTAAGATCCTTCTGTTTGAACATATGCCATAGACTCCGGTGGTCGGTGTCGACCTCGCAAGGGACACCGTACAAATAGTGCCATCAGATCTTCAAGGCATGAACAATAGCTGCTAATTGAAGGTCATGGAAGTGATAGTTCTTCTCATGCACCTTCAGCTATCTAGATGCGTAGGCTATCACCCTACCATCCTGCACCAACACTGCACTAAGATCGATACGCGATGCATCACAGTACACAGTATAAGACCCTGAGCCCGAAGGCAACACCAATACTGGGGCTGTAGTCAAAGCAGTCTTGAGCTTTTGAAAGCTTTCCCCACACTCCTCAGTCCACCTGAACGGATCACCCTTCTGGGTCAATCAGGTCATAGGTTCTACAATAGATGAGAAACCCCCTACAAATCGACAGTAATACCCCGCCAAACCAAGAAAACTCCAAATCTTCATAGCTGAAGACGGTTTGGGCCAACTCTGCACTGCCTCAATCTTCTTTGCATCCACCTTGATCCCCTCACTCGATACTACATGTACCAAAAATGCTACCGAATCAAGCCAGAATTCACACTTTGAAAATTTTGCATATAACTTCTTTTCTCTTAAGGTCTGGAGCGCGGTCCTCAAGTGTTGTTCATGATCCTCCCGGCTCCGGGAGTACACCAAAATGTCGTTAATAAACAAAATGATGAATGAGTTAAGATAAGGCCGAAAAACACTATTCATCAAGTGCATGAATACTGCAGGGGAGTTAGTCTGCCCAAAAGACATCACAAGGAACTCGTAATGACCATACCGAGTCCAGAAGGCAGTCTTCGGGATATCTGGCTCCCGAACCTTCAACTGATGATTGCTTGAATGTAAGTCAATCTTGGAGAACACTCTGGCACACTGTAGTTGATCAAATAGGTCATCAATACATGGCAATGGATATTGTTCTTCACTGTAACCTTGTTCAACTGGCGATAATTAATACACATGCGCATAGAATCATCCTTCTTCTTTACAAACAAGACTGGAGCACCCCAAGACCACACACTGGGCTGAATGAAGCCCTTATTGAGAAACCTAGTACAAATAGTAACAACCTCATGGCAGTTACCTCGTGCAAACAATAATAACAGTACGACAGAAACCTCGTGCGCACAACCAAAACAATCACCTCAGCAATAACACAAATGCCAAGACACAACAACTAAATAAAGCAATATTTCACAACATACACATTGCCTCAATAGAAACAATGGCCTTTGCAACTCAAAAGCAAGATATTTCAAGGATAGCAAATTTCAAGTAGAGAATCCCACAGTTAAATAATGAATACGGAATTAAGAAAGCAAGTAATTCGACTAAACATGTAGTACAAGTTGCAAATAAGATAAAAGACTAGTAGACATGTGAAACTAGACTAGATACGATGACTACAACATGTTAAAGCAACTCAATTACAGAACGGAAGGAAAACTACATAGCTAAAAACTGGGAATTTCACATTTAGCCCGTGTACGCACTCGTCACCTTGCATACACGGCTTTCACATATGACAATTATCACAATAAAACCAAATCCTAACGGAAATTTCCCCACCAAAAGGTTAGGCAAGTCACTTACCTCAAACCACGCTAAGGCAATAAACTAGAAGGCATTTCCCTCGATTTTCCAACTCCAAACGACTCGAATCTAGCCAAAACAATTTCATACTATAAATATAACTATAGGAAACTAATTTAAATAGTGAAATTACGTGTCTCGAAACCCGACCAAAATTATAAAATCCGAATAGCCATTCAATATCGAGTCCAACCATACAAGAATTATTCAATCCGACCTTAGTTGGCCTTTCAAAACTCAAAAATTTAGTCTAAGAACTTCCACACTTTTCCCCCAATTTTTCCACCCCAAATCCCTAATTACATGATGAAATAAATGATAGATTGGTGGAATTTTGCCACGACCCAATTCCCATCCCCGGTCGTGATGGCGTCTCTCGTGAAGACAAGGACAGCCAGAACAACACGAATACCTCTTTAAGCAATTATTAAGCTTTTAGCAAATCCATAACAAGTGTAAACAATCATAAAATGCGGAAATAACAATACCAACATACGATACCAACCCGACACAACCCAAACCGGGGTGTCACAAGTCATGAGCTACTACAGAGTTTAAAATAAGTCTACAAAATGTAAAGTCTGATACAATGGTCTGAAGGAAACTCAAAGATATGAAATAGGAGAGATAAGGGCTGTGAACGTCAACAGCTACCTCGTCGCTCCGACTAGCCTCTTGATCTGGGAAGAATCAGTGCTCAGGGGTAGACTCCGTAATGCTTGTATCTGTACACATGGTGCAGGGAGTAATGTGAGTACTCCGACCCAGTGAGTAATAATAATAAATAATAACCGAATATAAGAAATCACATAACTGCACAAAGCAATTCTATATCAGGCAATAAAAGCAGAAAAACAGTACAGAATCAAATGAAGACTCCTTTTAAAATCCGGTAAATCAGGTAAAACAACAGTAAATAGTGAGTAGAAATCTGGCCCTCGGGCCCAGTATCAATCACTCAGATCGGTATCAGCCCCTCGGGCTCAGTATCAGTCACTCAGAACAGTATTAGCCCCTCGAGCTCAGTATCATATCACATGGGTACCCGCGCTCACTGTGGGTGTGCAGACTCCGGAGGGGCCCCTTACGGCCCAAGCGCTATATCAACATAAGGCCTGAAAGCCTTCACACATCACACTCGAGGCCTGAAAGCCTCCTCACATATCACTCGAGGCCTGAAAGCCTCCTCACATATCACTCGAGGCCTAAAAGCCTCCTCACATATCACTCGAGGCCTGAAAGCCTCCTCACATATCACTCGAGGCATGAAAGCCTCCTCACATATCACTCGAGGCCTGAAAGCCTCACTCAGTCCAGAAACATCATAAGCCCCTCGGGCATCAATAAAATAATAGTTCTCTGCCCAAACAGCAGTGAAAAAGTCATTAAAACCTCAGAATTCAATTAAAGCGGCTGAGTTTGCAAAACAGTATAATTATAGGGATTGAGTTCAAATAACGTATCAAAATAGTGAGGAAACAGTGATAACAATCCCTGAAAGATTCAAGTAATCGGCATTAAGCCCAAAACATTGCAATAAGCCCATATCACGATGATAAACATTTCAGCTTAGTCAAATACGTGGTAAAATATCAAACGGGACGGACCAAGTCACAATCCCCAGTAGTAAACAACCCCGCGCTCGCCATTAAGCGCGTGTTTCACCTCAATATAGCACTACGTTGTGCAAATCCGGGGTTTCAAACCCTCAGGATATCATTTACTATCATTACTCACCTCAAGCCGTCCAAAATCCTAGCTCGCTATGCCCTTGCCTCACAAATCAACCTCCTCACGCGTTGAATCTGGCCAAAACCACAACAAATACGTTACAATAGGCTAAGGGAATATAACCCAATCGAAAAGACTCGAAAAACATCGAAATTCACGAAATTGGCAAAACCCGAGCCCTGGGCCCACTTCTCAAAAAATCATAAAATAAACATCACCGGATTCCTTATCTCGCCATGAGTCTATACATATCAAAATTACCAAAATCGTAGTCCATTTGACCCCTCAAATTCCACTTTGAAATACCAAATTCCCAAGCCCTAGCTTTACCCTCTTTTGATGAATTTCCACAAATTTCAATGTAAATTCTACCATTAATTCATGTATTTAGGCCAAGGAACTCACCTCCAATCACACCTAGTCGAAATCCCCTTCAAATTCCGTCCAAGAGCTCTCAAGGTCGATCAAAAATGGTGGAAATGGACTTAAACTCGCGAAACAAAATGAGCATTAAAAACCCTTCTGAGAACAGTGATTTCCGCATCTGCGGTTCCATTACCGCATTTGCGGCTACCGCTTCTGCGGTTAAAATTCCGCTTCTGCAGATCTTCATTAATCCCACCACCGCTTCTACGGTCCTCTATCCGCATATGCGGACCTCGCCTCTGTGGATGCTTGTCCGCTTCTGCGGAAATACCAAAGCCACACCTTTCGCTTCTGCGACAAATCTACCGCATCTGCGGCACCGCAGATGCGGCTCCAAGCCCGCACTTGCGGAAACAGCCCCTTCCTCAGGAACTCGCACCTGCGACCATCCCCTCGCATCTGCAGAACCGCATATGCGGCCCTTCTTCCGCAGATGCGGAAACACCAGACACCAGCAAAACCAGCAATTTCACCAAGTCTAAAATCATCCCGATGGCCATTCGAAATCACCCCGAGGACCCCGGGACCTCAACCGAAAGTGCCAACCCATCCTAAAACATCATTCAAACTTGCTCCAATCATCAAAACACCACAATTAACACCAAAACCATCAAATTACATCGGATTCAAGCCTAAGTTCTTCCAAAACTTCCGAATTATGCATTTGATCAAAAACCCGACCAAAACACCTCCGAATGATCTGAAATTTTACACACACATCCAAAATCACCTAACGAACTACAAAAACTCTTGGAATCCCATTCCGACCCTCGGATCAAAATCTCACCTATCAACCGGAATTCGCCAAAATACTAACTTTGCCAATTCAAGCCTAATTCTACACCGGACCTCCAAAATAAATTCCGATCACACTCATAAGTCACAAATCATCCCCCGAA